CGAAAACCTCTCTCTTCCTCCCTCCAAGAGCCTCCAGGAAAGAGAGAGAGGGAGAGATCGATCCTGCGCTGCCAAGATGTTCATCGAGAGCTTCCGCGTGGAGAGCCCGAACGTGCGGTACGGCGCGGGGGAGATCGAGTCGGAGTACCGCTACGACACGACGGAGCTGGTGCACGAGAGCCACGACGGCGCCTCCAAGTGGGTCGTCCGCCCCAAGTCCGTCAACTACCACTTCAAGACCAACACCACCGTCCCCAAGCTCGGGTCGGTAACCAACGCTCCCCTCCTCCCCTCTCCTCCCTCCATACGCGCGCGCAGTGCTTCTCTTTATCTTCTCTAAAATCTAATCTAATCCATTAGATTCTGTCGTGCCAAGACCAGTCACTCGGTCGCGGTGTTTCAGTAACTCAGCGCTTCTGTTAATTATCTCCTGATTTATTATGTAGTTAATTTAATTCGGTCCTGTCAAGATCAGTGCGACCTGTGTTCCATTCGGAACTTCGCCGGCCGTCGTTGACGGCTGCTTGTGGGGCTAGGTCGTTCTCGGATCGCTGTCAGCCTCTAGTGTTGGATTCTGTTTTAGTTTTCGTTTCTTTTTGGTATTGTTTTCTTGCCAAGAGAGAAGAATCAATGGACCAGGAGCCAAACGAACGGTCTCATTTTCGACTTTTTGGGAGAATGCGATGCGTTCGTTGTCGTCTGCAAGGTGCTGTTCGGTTTTGGATTATCGCTTACAGATCGGCTATCCGACCAAATTCATCTGCGTAACACGACATGCTTTCCCGGATCTACTAGTTTTTCGCCTGTCGCATGTGCACGTGAGCTCGTAATATTTAAGATTCAGAACAGACTACTCTGTATTTTTTAGATGAGAATTCAGAACAGGGTTTTTGACTCGACCTGGTACAGCATAATAAGATGTCAGCCTTTTTCTTTTGAGAAAGGCCAGAGTATGTCAGCCTGACCAGGCATAATTTACTGCTACTCTGAATCCCATGCATTTGTTTGTTTCCCCAGGTTTTTTGATTTCCTCTTTGTTTTCATCTACATCTACCCGAGTACTACTACTAGAGATATTGGTTATTGCAATGCATGTTAGCTACGTGCAGTGTAGTACTGTATGTGCCACTTGTCAACAGAAGATGCTGATTATTTGTGGTAATCCTTTTAACTCTGTTTTTGGTGGTGCAGGGTGATGCTTGTGGGGTGGGGCGGCAACAATGGCTCCACACTCATGGCTGGGGTCATCGCCAACAGGGAGTAAGTTGTCGCCATCCACATCGATTCCGTTGATATAATCTTGAATTTTTCTGTTCTACAACAGTGTCTCATTTGAGGCTGATGGCGAGTTTAATCAATTTAGGGGGATCTCATGGGCGACCAAGGACAAGGTGCAGCAGGCCAACTACTTTGGGTCCCTCACCCAGGCCTCCACCATCAGGGTCGGGAGCTACAACGGAGAGGAGATCTATGCGCCCTTCAAGAGCCTCCTGCCCATGGTAATACCAACATCAAAAAGATATTGCTATGTGAAAAACACTGCCTCCGGTTCCAATTTGATGCTGCATGTTCTGATTTAATGTTGGTTGAAGGGCAGCTAAGTCATGCAAAAAATGATGACAGTGAACCACTTTTATAGTAAAGAAAATTGTGGATATGTGCCATGATGTTGTCATTGTACCGGTCAAAATGCTGTGGGCTCTGTTGACTGTATATGTTCCAGACTTGCAGTTGGTTGCAGATCCTGTGCTGACGGTGTTAGAATGATTTTTCAGGTAAACCCAGATGACCTTGTGTTTGGGGGCTGGGACATTAGCAGCATGAACCTGGCTGATGCTATGACCAGGGCCAAGGTGCTGGACATTGACCTGCAGAAGCAGCTCAGGCCCTACATGGAGTCCATCGTGCCACTCCCCGGCATCTATGACCCGGACTTCATCGCTGCCAACCAGGGCTCCCGGGCTAACAATGTCATCAAGGGCACAAAGAAAGAGCAGATGGAGCAGATTATCAAAGACATAAGGTATACAGATATGCACGTATACAACTTGACATACTCTATATTCCAGCACTTAAGAGTAGAATAAAAAAAAAGAGTACTCTGAGTTTGGTGCGCGAGCACACATGATTGAATATGGATAATTCTCTATAACCACTGCGAATATGCTTAAAACAATAACACTGCATAATTCTCTACAGCCAGTGGCTTTTGTATGATTGGACAAATTCTCTATAGCCACTGGCTTTTGTATGATTGGTGGACTCCACAAAGGGTCGTTCTACTGAAATTAAATTTTAAGCTGAGTTACTCATCAAAATGTTACTCCAACAGTCCTTGTTAGTTTCGACATTCCATGCTGAAAACTTCATCAACTTTTAAATTTGCGCCCTTATATGGCTTAATGAAATAGGGAGTTCAAGGAGAAGAACAAGGTGGACAAGGTAGTGGTGCTTTGGACGGCAAACACTGAAAGGTACAGCAACGTCTCTGTTGGGCTTAATGACACGATGGAGAACCTCTTGGCGTCTGTGGACAAGAACGAGGCAGAGATATCTCCGTCAACACTGTATGCCATCGCCTGCGTCATGGAGGGTGTGCCATTCATCAACGGGAGCCCTCAGAACACCTTTGTGCCTGGTGTGTAGCTTGCTCTGCTGACTGTACTTGTATATAGTGTCTGGTTACAGGCTTATGCTAGTTTCTTTTGTGCAGGGCTGATCGATCTTGCTATTAAGAACAACTGCCTGATTGGTGGCGATGATTTCAAGAGTGGCCAGACCAAGATGAAATCTGTCTTGGTGGATTTCCTTGTTGGTGCTGGAATCAAGGTATCAATCAACTGTCAACTGAACCCTTGAGTCTTGACTACTCTTCATGTACTTTATATAATGTAAAGACAGACATTTCTCTGTTATGGAAGCCTAAACATATCACAAGTTGTTTGATTTCTGTTCTTGTAGCCCACCTCAATTGTCAGCTACAACCATCTGGGGAACAACGATGGGATGAACCTATCTGCGCCGCAGACATTCCGTTCCAAGGAGATCTCCAAGAGTAACGTGGTGGATGACATGGTCTCGAGCAATGCTATCCTCTACGAGCCCGGGGAACATCCTGACCACGTCGTCGTGATCAAGGTCTGTCTTGATCTGTCTGTCACCTTCTACGGACACATTCACTGTTGGTGCAAAAACCTGGAATTATATACTGAAGCTTCACCGTTGTTTTGCAGTATGTGCCATACGTTGGAGACAGCAAGAGGGCCATGGACGAGTACACCTCGGAGATCTTCATGGGCGGCAAGAGCACCATCGTGCTCCACAACACCTGCGAGGATTCGCTCCTCGCCGCACCGATCATTCTTGATCTGGTGCTCCTGGCCGAGCTCAGCACCAGGATTCAGCTGAAGGCCGAGGGAGAGGTAAGAGTCTGACCAGATATGTTGCTAGTCTACTCTGCAGTGGAGATATACTTTGGGAGCCAAACTGAAGCCATCTTTATTCCACTTGCATCTGTGCAGGACAAGTTCCACTCCTTCCATCCGGTTGCCACCATCCTGAGCTACCTCACCAAGGCACCCCTTGTAAGAAACAACTGCCGACTGTCTACTCTGATTAACCTAGAAACAAATAAAGCAGATTAACTGACGTGCAACGGATTCCTCTGTTAACAGGTTCCTCCTGGCACGCCGGTGGTGAACGCCCTGGCGAAGCAGAGGGCCATGCTGGAGAACATCATGAGGGCGTGCGTCGGCCTGGCGCCCGAGAACAACATGATCCTGGAGTACAAGTGAGGAGCAGGGCCCAAGCTCGCGGGGACGAGAGCGACCGTACGTACGTAGCAAGTGGCGAGGGGCGACGGGAGGGCAGGAGGAAGAAGAAGGCGAGATCGGCTGTGGAATTATTTGGCGGCTTGTCTTCGGTTTCCTTTGCGATTCTTTCTTTCCCTGGTTAAGTTTACCCTGGTGTGAGTGTGTGTGTGTCCTTGCGAGACTATTTCGGCTCTCTGTCTGGCCTCTGCGACTTGGTAGATTCTCATGGACTCCATGGTGTTGGATGATGTGGAGGGAGGAGGGTGCGTGTTAGCTAAGTTAGTCCACTCCCCTTGTTCGTGTTTTGTAAGCTAATTAGTAGTATCTGTACTACTAGTATATGGAACTTTCAATCGGTTCACCGGCGAGTTGTGTGCTCTGCTTTTATCATGTCACCTCCGGGTCGTTCAGGGACGGCGAGCAGTACTGCTTCGAAGATGCAAGCGGAAAATCAAGTAACTAGCATAAAATTACCACAATTCATGCTTGGGATCCGGAAAACTACCACTTCTCCAAAAAACTATAGAACCATCACAAATTAGTCGGCTGTTTTAAAAGGCACTAGTGGTGGAATGGCTAGGTTTTAATGCCATTTATGACAAGGAAGGCCCATCCGTCAAGCCAACGTCAGCCGCCGATTGATGGCGCGCCCGTTCTGACTGGGTCAAAATAACCCGAGCCGGCTCACTCTCACTAAGTTCTTCTCACTCGGTTCTCCTCTCCCGTGCTCTCTCAATGACACCGACCACCCCACTGCTAGTCACTGGTGCCCATGCCTTCGTGGAAGGCGGGGAGGAGAGCACTGACGAGGACATCAACATGGGTGACGACTTCATGGACATCGAGTACTTTGTAAGTATTCTCTTCTCTGATTAGTTAGGGTTAGGGTTATTGGATTCGAGGATACTTTTGTTTTCAATTTGTTTCATCGATTCCTTGATCTTGGTACTAATAGATGTAGGAGACCTCGGGCACCATTTCTGAGCCATTTACTGCGGTGCTGCTGTGGTGAGGTGCCCAAGTGCATGTTGCACAAGCTTAGGTCGAAGAAGTGTGTTGCTCTTGAAAAAATTGATACTTTTTTTTAAAAAAAGAGAGCACTCTCCTCAATTTTCATTATCAGAAACCACATGTATTTTTACAAGGACTAAAAGAGCAGCGACTGAAATGAAACTACATGATGACAACTAACAAGAAAACGATGCACTGACAGGATATGTTGCAGCATGAGTTAAGCTCATCCACCCCCGTCGAGCCGCAAAAGAGGCATACCAACCTAATGCTAGCCTCCCCCCAGCAACACCCAGTTTAAACATGTCTAAAGGGAGACATAGATCCCCTGAGACTCCCATGACCCGGGATCTCCAAGAACAAATGGAACAAGTTTGACGATAAAAACGACCAAATAACACACTACGCAAAATATGAAGCGCCGAAGCCTAACAGAGCAACATCTGCATCGGAGAAAACCACGTAGACGCTCACTCAACCAACCACAATACTAAGAGTTGCCCTCCAACCTAGTGTTGCTCTAAAGACCTCTCCAACCAGCACTTGAATTTTTCTTACGCCATCCACTATTAGCCTTTTTGCTTCTGGGTTCATCTACAAAACAAGCCATTCATGAAGCATTTTGATGTTTAAGTTCATAGGAGTACAAAGATAAAAAAACTTGTTATTATAAAAAGACATCATTTCTCAATTTCCAAATTGTCCAAAAGATGGCTGAAATGCCAACAGCTACCAAGTTTCTCTCTTTTTTGTGGAAGTTTTTTTATCCAGATGTTGAACATATCACTCACATTATCAGGAATGTTTTGTTGACCAAAAGTACATTTCATGGTATTCCAAAGTAGCTTGGCAATGGAACACCTAAAAAACAAATGGTCAATGCTTTGATCATGCAAGAAAATTGGGCATTTTTCTCTCCCATCCAGCCCCTTCTGAACAAATTATCTCTAATCAGAATACTGTTTCAAAGTACTAACCAAATAAAAACTTTGACCCTGGGAGGAATTTAGTTTTCCACATAAAGTTATGTGGATATTTCACCCCATTTTCAATCAATGTCTATAATAGGACTTGACAATGTATATCCCATTTTTGTTCACAGACCATTTGATCATGTCTCTGTTTTGATTCAGCACTACACTAGCACAACTTTCTTTTATGTGCTCCCATAATTCAAGAGAATCTCCATATAGAGTTCTCCCGAAGGAAACTAAATCAAGCTCTCTCCCTAGTATATCAGCTACAGATTTCTTTTTATCAAAACAAAAGTTGTATAATCTAGAGAAAATTGTCTTTTAAAGTTTTCTCTCCTATCCACCAATCTTCCCAATATTGGAAATATGCCCTAGAGGCAATAATAAAGTGGTTATTATTATATTTTCGTGTTCATGATAATTGTCTATTGTTCATTCTATAATTGTATTAACCGGAAACCATAATACATGCGTGAATACATAGATCGTAATATGTCCCTAGTAAGCCTCTAGTTAACTAGCTCGTTGATCAATAGATGGTCATGGTTTCCTGACCATGGACATTGGATGTCGTTGATAACGGGATCACATCATTAGGAGAATGATGTGATGGACAAGACCCAATCCTAAGCGTAGCACAAGATCGTGTAGTTCATTTGCTAAAACTTTTCTAATGTCAAGTATCATTTCCTTAGACCATGAGATTGTGCAACTCCCGGATACTGTAGGAATGCTTTGGGTGTACCAAACGTCACAACGTAACTGGGTGGCTATAAAGGTGCACTACAAGTATCTCCGAAAGTGTCTGTTGGGTTGGCACGAATCGAGACTGGGATTTGTCACTCCGTATGACGGAGAGGTATCTCTGGGCCCACTCGGTAATGCATCATCATAACAAGCTCAATGTGACTAAGGAGTTGGTCACGGGATCATGCGTTACGGAACGAGAAAAGAGACTTGCCGGTAACGAGATTGAACGAGGTATGAGGATACCGATGATCGAATCTCGGGCAAGTAACATACCGATAGACAAAGGGAATTGCATACATGATTGATTGAATCCTCGACATCGTGGTCCATCCGATGAGATCATCGTGGAACATGTGGGAGCCAACATGGGTATCCAGATCCCGCTATTAGTTATTGGCCGGAGAGATGTCTCGGTCATGTCTGCATGGTTCTCGAACCCGTAGGGTCTACACACTTAAGGTTCGGTGACGTTAGAGTTGTTATGGGAAATAGTATTTGGTTTCCGAAGGTTGTTCGGAGTCCTGGATGCGATCCCGAACATCATGAGGAGTTCCGAAATGGTCCGGAGGTGAAGAATTATATATGGGAAGTCCTGTTTCAGTCGCCAGAATAATTTCGGGGTTATTGGTATTGTACCGGGACCACCGGAAGGTGTCCGGGGGTCCACCGGGTGGGGCCACCTGCCCCGGTGGGCCAAGTGGGCTGACAAGGGAGGGAACCAGCCCCTGGTGGGCTGGTGCGCCCCCAAGGTGCCCTAGGCGCCTAGGGTTAGAAACCATAAGTGGTGGGGGCACCTCCCACCTGACTTGGGGGGGGGGGGCAAGTCCCCCCCTTGCCCCCCTTGTAGATGGGCTCTAGAGGGCCGCCCCCCTCTCCTTTTCCCCCTATGAACAATGGGGGGTGGGAGGGCTGCCATACCCTTCCCCTGGCGCAGCCTTCCCCCTCTCCAACACCTCCTCCTCCTCCGTAGTGCTTGGCGAAGCCCTGCCAAAGAACTGCAAGCTCCACCACCATGCTGTCGTGCTGCCGGAGCTCTCCCTCAACTTCTCCTCTCCCCTTGTTGGATCAAGAAGGAGGAGACGTCCCCGGGTTGCGTGTGTTGAACGCGAAGGTGTCGTCCGTTCGACGCTGGATCGGATCTTCCGCGATTTGAATCGCCACGAGTATGACTCCATCATCCGCGTTCCTTGCAACGCTTCCGCTTAGCGATCTTCAAGGGTATGAAGATGCACTCCCTCTCTCTCGTTGCTATCATCTCCTAGATTAATCTTGATGACATGTAGGAAAATTTTGAATAATTGCTACATTCCCCAACAGTGGTATCAGAGCTAGGTCTATGCATAGATTCTATGCACGAGTAGAACACAAAGTAGTTGTGGGCGATGATTTGTTCAATTTGCTTATTGTTACTAGTCTTATCTTGATTCGGCGGAATTGTGGGATGAAGCGGCCCAGACCGACCTTACACGTGCGCTTACGTGAGACTGGTTCCACTAACTGACATTCACTTCATGCATAAGGTGGCTAGTGGGTGTCTGTCTCTCCCACTTTAGTCAGATCAGATTCGATGAAAAGGGTCCTTATGAAGGGTAAATAGCAATTGGCATATCACTGATGTGGCTTTTTGCGTAGGTAAGAAACGTTCTTGCTAGAAACCCATAGCAGCCATGTAAAACATGCAAACAACAATTAGAGGGCGTCTAACTTGTTTTTGTAGGGTATGCTATGTGATGTGATATGGCCAAAAGGATGTGATGAATGATATATGTGATGTATGAGATTGATCATGTTCTTGTAATAGGAATCACGACTTGCATGTCGATGAGTATGACAACCGGCAGGAGCCATAGGAGTTGTCTTAATTTATTGTATGACCTGCGCGTCAATGAAAACGCCATGTAATGCTTTACTTTATTGCTAACCGTTAGCCATAGTAGTAGAAGTAATAGTTGGCGAGACAACTTAATGAAGACACGATGATGGAGATCATGATGATGGAGATCATGGTGTCATGCCGGTGACGATGGTGATCATGCCGCGCCCCGAAGATGGAGATCAAAGGCGCAAGATGATATTGGCCATATCATGTCACTTTATGATTTGCATGTGATGTTTGTCATGTTTACATCTTATTTGCTTAGAACGACGGTAGCATAAATAAGATGATCCCTCACTAAAATTTCAAGAAAAGTGTTCCCCCTAATTGTGCACCATTGCGAAGGTTCGTTGTTTCGAAGCACCACGTGA